AATCCAGATACACTTGGTATTTCCAATCATTGATCTGGACAAACACAAAATCCAGATACACTTGGTATTTCCAATCATTGATCTGGACAAACACAGATCCAGATACACTTGGCCTTGCCAATCATTGATTGCCTACCCTCTTCCCCCGAGCATAACGCACCCTGATCATGAACGTATACGAGCTAACTTTCCGGTTCGATACAGCTCAAAATGATGGTGCGTTGAGTTCGGGGTAATATATGCTAGTGGGATTCCCACTATCACATGCCGCGACACGTGATCGAGACACGTGGCACTCGGTTCGTTAAATGGATTGCCACCGCGTGCCTTCTTTTTTTCGCTTTTTTTTTTCCTTTTTTTTTTCTTTTTTAACTCCAGTTCCTGCACGAGATTGTTTTCTCAAATTCTTTTTTCTTTTCACTACGTACCTACACACTACTCCTCAGAGGTTATTTCCCAAAAAAAAAATAAAAAAAATCGTGAGGTTATACAGCGGACCCCTGGAACGGGATAGGGCCTCGCCCCGCACCACTCACCAAATGCACAAAACGACAAACATGAAACACGTCTACCTTTCCATGATCTTGGTGTACATTCAATCTCATTTTACACATTTGGTCGATAGTGCGGCGAGGCCCATAGCTAAGGGCTCGGCCAACGGCGAAGAGGAGGAGAGGAGAGGAGAGGAGAGGAGAGGAGAGGTAGAAGAGGAAGAGGAGGAGGAGGAAGAGGAGGAGGAGGAGGATATAGAAGAAGAGCAGAAAGAGAGAGTGGGATAATGAGCGTATACGCACACTACCTGGGACTACTTTGATGACTGAATCTGGCGGCAACTGCAGCCCGATACATTCACGACAATACACGTGGCCAAAAAAAAAAGCAAATCAACTTACCTTTATGAGCTTTCGGCGATGTCTGCCGATGAAGAAGAAGACGCGCCTCACTCTTCTCCCTCACAGCGGTCGGACCTCTTTGAGATGGCCGACAACGAAAAATATTATGTGCGCATGGGAGCGGCAGGCAGAGCGCTTCGCGGACTCAATCGCTCCCTGCCAACACCAAAAAAAAAAACCGAAAAAAAAAAGGTCCTTGCGCAGGGACATCCGTTAGAACATGGCACGCATAAATCAAGAAATGGTCCAAATTAAAAAAAAAAAAAAAAAAAGGACACACACACAGCCTCGCTCCACCACTCACCGCATGCACAAACAAAAGACAACAAGTGCTGCGTGTATCTTTCCACGTTCCAAGTGAAGATTCATTCTCATTCGGCACATTTATTGTGAGTGGTGGAGCCAGGTCCAAGAAGGTATTGGCAAGAACCMCCCCCCCCCCCCCCCCCAAAAAAAAAAAAAAATCGCCTCCCGGGGCGTGGTACCCCATCCGGATACAGGGGGCCTGAGGAGGAGTGGCCAGACTCTTCATATACCCTTACCGGATGGGTGAAATTATGCTTCTACCCTGCAGCCGTTGGGCCACAACGGGTCTACTTGGAGGGCATGAGCGTAATTTGGTGCTCAGAATTCAGGGCCTGTGGGACTGGGTACACCCACAATTTCGCACAGGGGAAAAGCTGGGGTACTATTCAAAGTTGAAGGCCCTCCCGGAGCCAAGTCCCACTTACCCAAATTGTCAATTTCTGACCGTAGATCACGGAGATAAACGGCCAGAAATGAAGAACCAGCGTAAGCGGGACTTGGCCCCCGGTTCTCCCTTCCGGTAGCCCCATTCCCCTACCGGTAGCCCGATTTGCCTACCGGTAGCCCCGCTTCTCCACCCCTGTAGACACGGCTGCGTGGTGTCCTTCAAGCCATTCGTCGGTCCGCGCGAAAGTTTCTGGTGGTCCTTCGGGACAAAGGGCGTCGCTGCACGACTCTCGACATGCACAGAAGGCAAAATTAATGGCGGTGTATCTTTCCATATTCTAGGGGAAGATTCACTCCCATTTTGCACATTTCGAGAGTAGTGGAGCGAGGCCAATTGGAAAACGATACAGAAAAAGAGAAGACTGTCGCGGGTCACTGCGCAAGGATGAGAAGACCATTTAGCATGGTCCTTACGCAAGGATGACACGCAGAAATGGTCCAAATCAAAAACAGAAAAAAAAAAAAAAAAAGTCTGTCGCGCGTCACTCGGCCACGTGGCTGCCTCTCAGCCAATCGCTACCCGCGAGAACGTCCCGGTCCATAGGCCTCGCTCTGTACTCATCAGTCCACATGCACCTGGGCGAAGTGCTGGACAAGATACATTGCAGAGACCATAGAAGAAGAGATTGAGCATAGTAAGTAGGCTGTAACTCTCTCTCTCTCTCTCTCTCACACACACACACACACACACACACACACACACACACACACACAGCACAGACACGCACGAACAGAGCCCCACACACCAAGGCACGATCCGCCCTCCCAGCGAAATCGTGACGATTGCTTCCACAGCCGGGGCTGAGAAAAAATAAAAAAACCGACCTGTACCCATCTCTCTCTCTCTCTCTCTCAATGGCGAGCTGCTTCCATTCTCCGTCAATGAAAACTGTTTTCGGCATATGTCAGTCTCATCTTTTTTTTTGGTCGCGATCGCAGACGTGATCGCCTGCAGTGTGGGGTTTTTAAATACTCCATCTCATCTGTTTTTTTTTTTTTTTTTTGAACTCCATCTCATCTTCAACCTCCGCATGGTCATGCTGACATCGACTTTGGGCATGAGGAGGTATCAACTTTGTTGAATTCGAATGCGAAATAATACATGACGGTAGTTCAATAAAGGTCTGATAGGCGTTCCCTCCCCAACCCCCTCACACACACACACACACACACACACACACACACACACACACACAGAACGAGACACTGAGACCAAAATCGAGATGTGCCTTTGGGAAGAAGAAAAGGTGGACGCAAACCTTCTTTTAAAAGGGGGGGGGGGGGGGGGAGGTTGAAGAAACCGCAAACCTTCTTTTTCTGTATCGATGCGTTGGTGTGGTGTGGCAATCACATTGGACGGTTAACCTGTCTTCCCCCGAATGCAACGTCAAACAAAGCTGCCTACGGTAAACCGTAGTAGGCAGAGAGGGAGGGAGGGAGGGGGAGAAGCGGACAACAATCGAGGGAGGGGCTGTGACAAACTGTTTCGTCGGAGGAGGCTGTTTGTGACGATATATATATACATATATACATATATGACCAGTCATCCGGGTTCTCTTTTATTGTCTTGGCATCCTAGTTGGTTGCTTCCCGTTGTTCGGCCTGTGTGAGTGGGCGGTGGTTTATGTGGGAATCATCATCTGGGATTGTCTTTTATGTTTTTTGTCCCAGTAAGAACGGTTTACAAATGGGAATGCACACGTCTTGATGACGAAGAAGGCAATCTGCTGTATATAGATATGTAATCTGGGATTTCTCTTTTTTTTGCAGACAAGAGTTTTGTCCTGGGTGGTCTTGTCCTGTCGTTTGACCTGTGAAGGAGGGGCGGTGCTTGCATGTGGGACTTGTCATCTAGGATCCGTTTTTGGTACTATTGCTTGTTGCCCCCTGTTTTGTTTTGTTGTATTTGGCTCTGATATTCATGTGACGATATATATATATACCCCTCGTTTGTTGTCCTCTTCTCTCTCTCTGCCTACGGTTTACCGGGCAGTTCTGTTTGTGACGATATATATATATATGCAGGCAAGTGTTCTGACATCCTGGTTGGTTTGGTTGTTTCCCGTTGTTTGGCCCTTTGAGCGCGGGGCGGTGCTGTATGTGGGAATCGCCATCCGGGATTGTCTTCTCCTTCTTTTTGGTTGTCACATTGTGGATTGGAGCCTTTTTTTGTTTTGCTGATTTTGTCTGTTCCTCGGTTGGTTTGGTCCCGTTGTTCGGGCTATCTTATGGGCGTGGCTGTGCTTTCATGTGGGACCAGCCATTCGGGTTTTTGGCATCCTGGTTG